CATTCTACAGTCAAGCATTTTTAGCTTTCCAGCACCTTGAGCGCAGCATATGTAGCAGTGTAGTAAAAGTTTATAGACCTTTCCTCAAAATGTTTAAAATGCATAAAATAAAAGATATTGCATTATAAAGGAAATCAATTATAATGAAACAGTTATAAAATGTCTTAATGTGATAGAGCAGTGTGTGCTTTTTAAATACAGCCTAGCAGTCATTCTAATAACCTCTGTAATTTTGCCATAGTGATGAACAAAAATATATTTCAAGATATTGGTACTAAATAGGTGTTATATGAAAATGGCTGTGATTTCTTTTGGCAGAGTCACATTTATTGCTAGTATTACCAAAATGTGTTGCCCACATTCACAATTTTTTTTTTCCGAGACAGGGTTTCTCTGTGTAGCTTTGCGCCTTTCCTGGGACTCACTTGGTAGCCCAGGCTGGCCTCGAACTCACAGAGATCCGCTTGGCTCTGCCTCCCGAGTGCTGGGATTAAAGGCATGAGCCACCACCGCCCGGCTCACATTCACAATTTTTTAAATGCTGTATTTTTGTCAGCAGTTAATGAACTAAAGATGCCACTCCTCACCCTTCCCCAAGTTCATGGACTTGATCGTTCTAGCCATAGTACATCAGAACTCTCTGGCCAGCTGAGTAAAAACGTATTAGACTGGAGCTAAGGAAAGGATTTGGCAAGGCATAAATAACCATTATGCCATTCAAGCAACAACTGCTGCTCTGTACAAAAAAAAAAAAAAAAAAAAAAAAAAAAAAAGTGATGATGTGGTACAATGGGTTCTAGCTGCAGAAGATCATTTTGATGGAGTGGATACCAAAATTGCAATGACTATGGTCAATGCCAAAGCACAGGGGAAAGCATTAGAAAAATCAACAGTGAAATCCTGGTTGAGCAGTTAAAGGCAAGAGGAGGACAAATTTCCTTTCCTTTATTATCAACTACCAAGAGACTAAAGGACTCACTCTTGATGCTTTGGACAGAAATGGATTCTATTCACAGCACTTAATCTTCATGTTTTATGATGATTGTATACTGTTTTGAACTTTTTAAAAGCTCATTTGCCTGTTATCTCCTCCGGAACCTGAAGTCATTGTTAGTGGGTTGAACTGGTGTGTGCTTTGTCAGTAGCGATATGGAGACGAAGGGGGCTCATGACTGTGTCAGCAGGAAAAATAGGTATTATCGTAAGACCCACTGGCTTCTTAAGTTTCTCAGCGGTGGGCTTTCTTTTAAAGATCAACTTAGGTACAAAGGTGATATATTGACTAAGAGACAGAAAGAATTCTGTAGTGGGCTCAGTGAAGTAAATAACCTCCCCTAGAAATGAGAAATGTAGGCCAGTGTATTGCAGGTTTTGAAATGGATAGGCGAGTTTCACAGGCGGTTTATGGAGGTAGTTGGCTCATTCTTTCATTCCTTGGACTATATATCGAGGGCACAATCCAAGACTCCATCACCAGCACTGAGCAAAATTGCCCTGTATTTATTTCTCTCCCACTTCCATATTTCCACTTCCCCCCATCCTTTCTTCCTTTTGCCGGCTGCTACAGCTTGCCTGCTACAGCTTGTCTCACTTGGCTGTTAGCAGCATTCCTTCCCAGCTGGAGCCTCTTTGCACTTCCCATTTCCTGTTCTTTTTTTCCTTGCCTGTCTCATCAAGAGGAAAATAATGTGTTTCACCCCCTCCTTCTTCCCAATCTAAAGTTCTTGTCACAATTCTGATTTTAATGACAAAGGGTGTTATTTGGGCAGCTTTTCCCTAAACTGTCTTCTAATTCTGAAAACAAAACAAAACAAACAAACAAAAAAAAAAAAAAACCGAACTAGAAAAAAAGTGGCAACACATGTTTTTCTTCCCTGGCCAATGGTTCTGTTGCCCATGTGGATATGTTTGTACTTCAGCATACAATTGCAAAGAGTCAGTGACATGCAACGAAGGTTGATCATGGTTTCAAACATAGTGGTTCTGTGTCTTTTTCCCTGAGTTAGTGAATGTATGAACAAAGCACCAAGAGAGCACGTGTCGCTATAGTGATGCTACATTTGTTAAGGGGTTGGACCACTCCAACAGAGAAGCCCAAAGATGGCAAGTGTCTTAGTGTTTTTATTGCTGTGAAGAGACACCATGACCACAGCAACTCATATAAGAAAAACATTTAATTGGGGTGACTCGCTTACGGTTTCAGAGGTTCAGTCCATAATCATGGCAGGGAGCATGGTGGCATGCAGGCAGACATGGTGCTGGAGGAATAGCTCAGAGTACTATATTTTGCAGGCAATAGGAAGTCTACTGAGACACTGGGCGGTGTCCTGAGCATAGGAAACCTCAGAGTCCACTCCCACAGTGACACACTTCCTCCAACAAGACCATGCCCACTCTAACAAAGCCATACCTCCTAATCATGCCACTCCCTATGACATTATGGGGGCCAATCACATTCCAACTGCCACAGCCAGCAATGGCGGCAGCTAACAGTTTGTATTCTCACTACCATCTCCAATAGCACTGCCGCCGCACGGCTGGACTCTAAGTAGCTGTAATAGAAACAGTCACGATATTTATTGAGCGCCTACTAAATGATACTGTGATAAACCTTTTACATAGATTGTTTTATCAATCCTCACAAGACTCCAAGAATTTACCTGCATTTTACAAGAATAGAAACTAAGATTGTAAGAGATTTTACCTGAGACATTAAAAAAAAAAAATCACTTGTACTCCTCTTGGTCATTGTTCCATTGTTGTGAATAGACACCATGACCAAGACAACTCTTATAAAAGACAGCATTTAATTAGGGGGTTGCTTATCGTTTCAGAGGCTTAGTTCATTGTCATCATGGCAGGGAGCATGGTGGCGGGCAGGCACACAAGCAGGCAGGCAGGCCGGCAGGTAGGTGTGATGCTGGAGAAGTACCTGAGGGCTACATCCTGATCTGCAAGCAGAAAGAGAGAGCCTGCGCCTGACATGGGTTTTTGAAACCTCAATGCCCATCCCCAGCGGCACACATCCTTTCACAAGGCCATGCTTACTCCAACAAGGACACATCTCCTAATCTTTCCAATTAGTTCCACTCCCTGGTGACTAAGCATTCAAATATATGAGCCTTTGGGAGACATTCTTATGCAAACCACCGTACCCTCCAAAAACAATGAAATCACTTGCCAAAATTGCATATTTATTACATGTCCAATATTAAGATTTAAGCTTAGTTCCTTTAGACTCCAAAACCTGTTTCCTTAACCCTTGTCCTACCTTGTCTCCCCATCCTGACAGTGGTTAGTCATAGACAACAGGAGTATTGTACTCCTATCCAAGAAGTTAGTGAAATGACAAATGTCCTCAGAGAACAAGTCTAGAAACTTGTTTCCTCGATGGTTAAAGGTTATCTAGGCCCAGGGAGATGGCTCAGTGTTGGGAACAGGTCCTGGAAGCCACGTGTAGTGGCACACACCTTTAATCCCAGGAGGAAGAGACAGGGGGAATCTCTATGAGTTTTTTTATTTTGTTTTGTTTGTTTGTTTGTTTAATCATTTGAAGTGGAAAGTCCACTTTATTTATTTATTTGTTTGTTTGTTTGTTTGTTTGTTTGTTTATTATGTATGCAGTGTTCTGTCTGCATGTATGCCTGCACACCAGAAGTGAGCACCAGATCTCATTATAGATGGTTGTGAGCCACGATGTGGTTGCTGGGAATTGAACTCAGAACTACTGGAAGAGCAGCCAGTGCTCTTAACTTCTGAGCCATCTCTCCATCTCCCTCTGTGAGTTTTGAGGCCAGCTTGATCTGCATAGCAAGTTCCAGCATAGCAGGAGCTATACATAGAGACCCTAAGGAGAGGAGGGGAGGGAGGGAGGAAGAGAGGGAGGGAGGGTACTGTTTTGCTTTTTCAGAGGACCCAAATTCAATTGCCAGCACCCACATCAGTTGGCTCATAACTGCCTGTAACTCTGGCTCCAGGGGGATCAGACACCTCTGTAGATGTAACCAACCGTCTTATTAAATAAGAAATACAGAACCAATGCAAAGAAGAAAGCCAAGAGATCAGAGCTAAGAGCCTTACCCACCTGCTGCAGCTAGCCTCTTCAGCCAAGAGACCTCTCTGAAAGAGACCTACTTCCTGTCTGTTTGTCTTTATATAGACTTTCTGTTCTGCCTTCTCATTGGTTGTAAACCCAACCACATGACTGCCTCGTCACTGCCTTTCTGTACAGACCTCCAGGTCTTCTGTGGTTGGTTAAAGGCGTGTGTCTCCAATGCTGGCTGTATCCTTGAACACACAGAGATCTACCTAGCTCTGCCTATCAAGTGCTGGGATTAACTTCATGCAACACCAACGCCCAGCTTTTGCTATGGCTCTAATAGCTCTGACCCCCGGGGCAACTTTATTTATTAACATACAATTAAAATCGCATTTCAGTACAAATAAAATATCACCATACACCTCTGGCCTTTGTGGGCACTGGCCCTCATGTGTGCATACCTACACACAGACCACACACACATACACAGAATTAAAAATAAAAATAAATCTTTAATTAGAGAGTTTATTTAGAGTAGCTCATTGATGGATAAAAGAGATACCATACAATATTCAAGTCATTTGTGTTTTAAAGACAGTGAATTTTAAAATGTACTAAATTCAGCTCTCTTATTTTGAAATGTAGATGTAGGATATAAGAATCAGTGATGGGACTGGAGAGATGGCTCAGTGGTTAAGAGTGCTTACTGCTCTTGCAGAGGACCCAGGTTTGGTTCCTAGCACCCATATCATGGGGCTCACAACCATCGAAATCTTTAGATCCAGGGGACCCAATGCCCTCTTCCGCTGGCACTGGTACAGATGTGATCTAAATAAACTCACATAGACATAAACTCACATACATATAAGTACATCTTAAGAATTCATGATAAAGTTATCCCCAAAGAAACTAACATTCAAATTGCTTCCTCCTATGTGTTATGTCCCTTCTTCTATCGCAGCCATTCCTAAAGCTACGAAGAAACTTCCCAACTTGCTTGTCTTCTTGGAAGATTCCTCGTGTCCTCAAATCCTCACAGCCAGAAGCTCAACTCAGTCTAACAAACAATGCGCTGCCCTTTGCACCTCTGCAGACATTTTCTGATGAGGAAATGATGATGAAGAAAATAGGTCAGTACATTTCTCAGCTTCATCCCGTTAGCCCTCTGGTTACGGGTTGGGTCTACATTGGGAAACTATACAAGACAGCCTGGAAGATATGATGGTCTCTGTTGTCGTTGCTCTGTTTGGGGGGCGGGGGTTGAAGGGAGTTTGTTTATTTTTGAAACAGGATCTTGCTGTGTTGCCCACACTGGTCTCAAACCCCTGGGCTCAAGTAACCTTCTTATCTCAGCCTCCAAAGTAGCTGGGATTTAGAGTCCTGAGAGTGGAATTTTTCATATAATTTTTTGAAAAATAAAAAAAGGTAAATATACCAATATAAAAACAACAGCAGAATAAAAGGCTATGTTACAAGTTAAGGTTTCCCCATCCCTGTTCCCTGATTCTCCAGTTCTTTCTAGAAGCTGCTTCATTGCCAGTCTCTTATATAGCCCTGGAGGGAGGGCATGGTGCTAACTGTTCTACAATGCACAGGGCAAGCATCGCCACAACAAAGGCCTGCCTGCCTGCCTGCCCTGCCCCAGAACATTCTTAGTACTAGACAGAGAAACCTTCCTGTGTGTGGCCATGTAGCTATTAAAAGATGTTAGATGGGCGATATGCTGATGGAGAAAGATAACCAAGGTATAAGTAGGGAGACAATAGACATCTGGCATGGTGATGCATGCCTTTAATCCGGCATTCCAAAGGCAGAAGCAAGCAGATCTATGTGAGTTCAAGTTCAGCCTGGTCTCGTAGGGAGTTCCAGGACAACCAGGGCTTCACAGTGAAATTCTGTCTCAAAAAAAATCATAATAAATGGATAAGAGGAGGAGAAGGAAAGCGAGGAGAGGGTTGACTGTGTCTTCTGGCTGCTTTGTGTAAGAGAAGGAAACCGATAGGCAAGGTGTCTAGGCAGAGCTGTACAGAAGACTAAAGGGAGCTTTCAGGAGTTTACAAGTTTAAAATGGTTACCTTTGGGGAAATGAACTGAAAATCCAGGGCAGAAGAATAAGGCTTTCACTTTTCATTTTGTGCCTACCATATTATTTTTATATATTTTTTAAATTTTTTTATTTTTTCCAAGACAGGGTTTCTCTGTGTAGCTTTGCGCCTTTCCTGGAACTCGTTTTGGAGACCAGGCTGGCTTCGAACTCACAGAGATCCACCTGGCTCTGCCTCCCAAGTGCTGGGATTAAAGGCATGCGCCACCACTGCCCGGCTTGTTTTTATACTTTTGCTCTGAAGGGGATTAGGGGATTGCTTTTTTCTGAATTTAAAGAAGGAAGTTGTAATTTCTATTTTGAAAGAGAAAAGACTAAGTATAGTCATGTGTATTTTAATTTATTGGTTAAAAAGTAAAAGTTTATCAACAAACTGTTAATGAGCTATTTCTTTCTTAAAGATATCTATTTTATCTACTTAAACATAGACTTACCAGCAATTCTTTTTCCACCACAGTTAAAAAATTTGCACAGGAACAAATTGCTCCTCTGGTTTCAACTATGGATGAAAATTCAAAAATGGAGAAATCAGTGATACAAGGATTATTTCAACAAGGGGTATATGTTTCATAATTCTCATTTCAAACTTTTTATTATTTAAATTTGTTCATACAATGTATTTGTATCCTATTCTTTTCCCTCCCCCTACTCCTCCAGGTTTCCCCCACCTCCCTAACCACTTAGCTTCATGTTCTTTCCCTCTCAAAAAACAAAACAAAACAAAAGACAAAAGACACCCATACAAAACAAAAAGCACACAAATAACACCGAGTCCATTTTGTGTTGGCCAATTGCTTTTAAATACATTTTATATATTAAAATATGTGCAGACTTTTCAATTGAGAGGTTATGATAAGCAAAGGGAATTCCTCACTCCTAGTCATAAGTATCTGTGTTTCTTTTCAGTTAAGGTCTTAGTTGATTTTATACAGTTAAAGGTTTTTAACTGAACTGATACTTTAAATTGTAAAACATCCTATAGTGCCCAGGGCAGCTGCAACAAAGAACTGGCTAGCTCCATGCAACAATTACATTGTAGACACTGTGCGTGGTTTCTTGTGTGTGTGGCAGTCTTAAAGCAGATCCGTTATCTGAGTTCCACATTAACCAGATTTCCAGCTTTGTAATTCACATAGCCTTTCCGTGAGAGTGTGACATATAAAATAGATTATAGTAGAATTAATCTGGCTATGAGTGGGGTGTTATCAGTGTGGAAACTTCAAGGAAGAACATCTTAAAAGTCACCATACTGAGCCAGGCAGTGGTGGCACATGCTTTTAATCCCAGCACTCGGGAGACAGAGGCAGGCGGATCTCTGTGAGTTTAAGGCCAGCTTGGTCTACAGAGTGAGTTCCAGGACAGCCAGGGCTACACAGAGAAACCCTGGCATAAAAAACAAAAGCAAAACAATCATCATACTTATTCCTGTGTCTCCCTTCTCTAGGTGCAAATAGATTTTTTTTTTTTTTTAATACTAAGGATGCGCCAGAATTAGTCACTGCTATTTGGCACCACCTCCCTTGTCTTGTCTGTCACTTTATTGAAAAGTGGCTTTTGGCACTTAGCCGTATAATTTCATTTCTCCTTGCTTTAATGGGATCAGCTTTTGATGAGTTTGCTAACTTTCTGTTATCAATGAAACACTAAGGAAAATGGAATCCTGTATGGAGACATACTGAACCACACAGAAGCCTAGTGTGTAAGACAAAGGCCCCATGGTTTATCTTCCAGCTCAGTTCTGCTCTCATCATTGACAGACTCTCTGGCTTCTGTGGGGAGACCTTTGGTGGTCTCACAGCTTGAAAATTGCTCTCCTGTGGTAGTAGTTCTTGTATTCGAGGCCATGGGCACTCACTGTCCACCTCCATAAACTGCTCTTACAGTCCTGACTCTATAGTCCAGTGTCAGTCACCTGCCACATATTTCCAATTACAGAACACTGGTGACTTTTCTAGAGAAGCAGTGTTGCTAACAATTGTTCACGATGGGAAATCCCTTCCACTTCTCTCACACCGCAGCTTTCATCCTTCCTATATCTGCCTTCATGTCAGCTACATCATCAACCTGAAACATGTAGCCAGAGTCCTAACTCACTCATCAGTGCTATTCTAGGAGAGCCCAGAGAGAAAGGGAGCATCACCCCTTCAGCTACCAGATGTGGGTCTTGAGCCATTTGTATATGTTATGTTCCTTTCCTAAAATAAGGACAATTACACATAGAGCAGGACTAAGGACATTTCATGTCCCAGACATAGGCGCTGAGATCAAATGGCCACCTATTGGGAAGCCTTGACCAACACTTGATCTTGTGTGTCAGCACCTGTGATTTGTTAGTGTGTCACTCAAACACTACCACATGTTGTCTGCTGCCCATCTTGGACTTGCCAAAGTGGCCCCAAATGGATGGCCGTGCAGTCATTGTCTCCACTGAAAAGGTCAAGTAGAAAGGCCTGCTTAGCAGACACTGTGCCAGCTAGAGCTGTAGACAGGTCCACTGGGGGCTGGTTACTCTTGTACATTCGCTTATTACATCAAATCAGTATACAGGAGCCTGTATTGAAATACTGAAACATCCCATGCAGTCCTTAATAAGAAAGACCATCAGATCATGCTTACCTTTCCTTATTCAAGGCATTTTGTGTCTTTCTTTGTTATCCCAGGCCCAAAGCAGGGGTGAGGGGAACACATCTAGCATAAATTTCATCCTTCAGAGAAAAAAAAAAAAGCAAACAAAAAAAAACCCCTAGGGTTTTTTAATAGACTGTTGTTTATAGCAAAATAGCTATATCCAATTAAACTATACATAAAATTTTAAAGTTCAGAATATATATGATGGGCTGTGACTGTAGCTCAGGTGGTGGTAAAGTGCTTGCCTAGCATAAGGGGCCCCAGGTCATTTTTGTGTTTACAATTTATTTTTGAATTTTTACTTGCAAGAAGTTTCCCAGTCTCAACAGCGTTCCTGACCTGTCTCATCTCTCCTCTCTGTCATTGCTTTAGCTGATGGGCATTGGAATTGATGCCGAACATGGAGGAACAGGCGCTTCCTTTTTCTGCTCCATCATAGTGATAGAAGAGCTAGCCAAGGTGGATGCATCTGTGGCTCTCCTGTGTGACATCCAGAACACAATAGTTAACAACCTGTTTAAAAAACTCGGTACAGAAGAACAGAAGGCTACCTATTTGCCTAAACTGGCTACAGAAAAAGTGAGTTGAAATGACTTGTTGAGATGGATTGAGTCTGAGTTTACAATATTTTCGGGAGAAAAGTAACTGCGATATTGACTTTAATTACTCGAGACCACAATGCAGCGCCATCAATCAACCATGCAATGCTCGATAAATTGCTGCTACCAGAGAAATACATTCTACGTCTCATTTGTCATGTGGAAATTTAGGAAATAATCATCAGACAATTCCTTTTAGCTAGGCATGGCAGTGCGTGCTTGTAATCCTAGTACTCAAAGGCTGAGGCAAGAGGGCTGCTTGTTTGAGGCCAGACTAGGCTGCATAGCAGTTTCCAGGCCAGCCTGGGGTGTGTGGTGAGACCCTGTCTCAAAAGACATCAGCACATCTATTTCAGTTCATTTCCAGTCCCTTTGTTGAGATCACTGTGGTCTTAGTTAGGGTTTCTATTGCTTCAACGAAACATCCTGACCAAAATGCAAGTTGGTCAAGAAAGGGTTTATTTAGCTTACACTTCAGAATTGTTGTTCATCACTAAAGGAAGTCAGGACAGGAACTCAAACAAGGCAGGATTCTGGAGGCAGGAGCTGATGCAGAGGCCATGAAGGGGTGCTGCTTACTGGCTTGCTTCCCCAAGGCTTTCTCAGCCCACTTTCTTATAGAAACCAGGACCACCAGCCGAGGGATGGCACCACCAACCCCATGGATCACTAAAGGAAGTCAGGACAGGAACTCAAACAAGGCAGGATTCTGGAGGCAGGAGCTGATGCAGAGGCCATGAAGGGGTGCTGCTTACTGGCTTGCTTCCCCAAGGCTTTCTCAGCCCACTTTCTTATAGAAACCAGGACCACTAGCCGAGGGATGGCACCGCCAACCCCATGGGCTGGGCCCTCCCCCACTGATCACTAAATGAGAAAATACCTTACAGCTGGATCTCATAGAGGCATTTCCTCAACTGAGGCTCCTTCCTCTCTAATGACTCTAGCTTGTGTCAAGTTGGCACACAAACACAGCCAGGACAACTATCTACTAGAATTTAATAAAGTTAAGCATGTGTTATTTTGTTTTTTTTTTTTTTTTTTTTTTTTTTTTTTTTTTTTTTTTTTTTCTGGTTTCAAACTTCCAGTGATCTCCCTGCATCGTCTACCTGAGATGGCTAGTAGCTCGAAGTGTGCCATGGGAAGTCTTAAAGAAGGCAGACCAGGAAATGCTACATAGCAAGCATATGTTCCTAAATCCTTATTTTATCTTAAATAGTAAGGGTGCTTTTAAAAAATAATAATCACAATTCTATTTTGACAATATAGACTTATTTTTAATACAGGGTCTTATTATGTAGCCTTAGCTGGTCTGGAACTTGCTATATAAACCAGGCTGGCCTTGAACTCACAGAGTTCTGCCTGCCTTTGCTTCCTGAGTGCTGGGATTAAAGGCATAGGCCCCCATGCCCAGCCCAAATATAGATTTTTTTTGGAAAAGTAACTAAAGGTTTGACTTACAAATGTCCATTTTTAAAGCTAGGCATTGTCAGTACATACCTTAAATCCCAGCACTCAGGAGACAGAGGCAGGTGGATCTCTGAGTTCCAGGCTAGCCTGGTCTACAGAGTGAGTTCCTAGGATAGCCAGGGCTACACAAAGAAACCCTGTCTTGAAAAATCAAACCCCCCGAAAAATGCAAATAATAAATACAATTAATTTGTTTTTTCCCCCTCACATGTATAGTTAGGGAGCTTCTGCCTTTCTGAAGCTGGAGCTGGTAGTGACTCTTTTGCTTTGAAAACAAGAGCTGATAAAAATGGAAATTACTATATCATCAATGGGTCCAAGATGTGGATCAGCAATGCTGAACACGCAGACATCTTCCTGGTTTTTGCAAATGTGGACCCCACCTCGGTAAGTTTAAAGAAAAATCTTTCCTCCCTCTTCTCACCTTTTATTTTTGTTCTTTTCCTTCTTTCAGTCCCTTTTTAGGACTGGGCTTAAGTTCCTTATTCTCTGTGAGTTGAATTGACCATTTTTTTCCCCACTCTTATTCATTTAAAATAACCATTGTTGACAAAATGATTAATTACATAGAGGACCACTTATTACTTCTCTCCTAATATCCTAATCTTTAATTGGGTAGAACTTCAGTTATTCTGTGTCATAATGAAGGATTTAAATATTTGTGAAATACATTTATACTTTGAAGAATATTACTTTAAAAGTATTTTATTCAGATGGAAGAGACATACAGCAAAAATGGTAAGTATGCTTTATTTTGTCTTCTGATTTAAGAATATTGAATTTAAAACTTGATGGTCTCATGATCACATACTTAATTATAAAAATAATTTTAACACCCACTGTGGTTTCTGGAGAAGTACAGGTAGTAGTAAGGCTCCTCTCTGGGTAACCCTGGCCATCCTAGAACTTGATATGTAGACCAGGCTAGTCTCAAACTCATGGAGACCTGCCTGCCTCAGCTTCCCAAGCGCTGAGGTGTACTTAAAGGATGCACCACCATGTCTGGCATAGACTTAGTGACTCATGTTCTCCAGTTATTCTGGTTTTGTAATGCACATATTGCAATTTAGAGTCCTTCAGTATCTATTACTAAAGTCCATGTTATTTTTCCTTTCTTTTTGTACATGTGTGTATTTGTGTAGATGTGGGTACGTCTGTGAGGAAACCAGAAGTCAACCTCAGACACTGTTTCTCAAGAACTGGCCACTTTTGTTTTAAAGATTGATTTTTTTTAATTAATTTTTAGCTATGTGTATTTGTATTTGTCTGTGTAGGGGTATGTACACATGGGTACAGGTGCCCATGGAGTCCAGAAGATGTCAGATCCATGGCAACTGGAATTACAGGTGGTGGTGAGCCACCCCATGTAGTTCGGGGAGCCAAACTTGAGTGCCCTGCAAGAGCAGTATGTGCTCTTAACTACTGAATCCTCTCTCCACGCCCCCCCCCCCCAGCTCTTTTTGAGGCAAGGTCACTTGGGTCCACTGGGATCTGGGCCTCACTGCTAAAGCTTGGCTGACTGGCCAGCAAGCCCCAGGGATTCACCTGTCTCTGCCTCCCTAGCACAGTCGTTGCAAGCGTGCTAAGTTCACATGGGTACTTAGGACCAAACACACATCCTCATGTTGGCACAGCAGCACTTTCCCAGCTGAGCTGTCTCTCCAGCCCTGTGACTTTCAGTTCACCTTGAACTCTTCATGTTTTTTCGTTTTCATTTTATTTTTACTTTTTTATGTGTGTGAGTGTTTTGCCTGCATGTATCATGAACCGCATGCATGTCTGATGCTCATGGAAGCCAGAAGAAGGAGCTGGATCCCATGAAACTAGAATTGCAGACAGTTGTGAGCCACCACGTGGGTGCTGGGAACCAAATTCTGGTACTCTGGAAGGACAATGATACTCTTAACTGCTGAACCATCTCTGCAACCTTTTAGTTTTCTTATTCTGAATTCTATAAGCAAGGATCTTAAAAGCCCAAGTGATAATCACATTTTAAATCTTTTTAGGGATACAGAGGCATCACCTGCTTCTTAGTAGATCGAGACACAGACGGTTTTCATATAGGCAAGAGGGAAAACAAGATGGGGATCAGAGCTTCCTCCACGTGCCAGTTAACGTTTGAAAATGTCAAGGTAGGTATTCTAGAATACTCTAGAACATTCAGTAAGAGACTAATGAGAAATAAGCCTTACATAGGACCACAGGAAGTGTACAAGAGAAATGTCAAAACAGCAAATGGTGTTAAGTGTGCACAGAAGGGTCCTTGGTGGAACTGGTCAGCAATCAGGCCCTGACCAAGGGCATTTTTCACAGGAGTTGAGGCCCAGAGTGGAAACTTTTCTGTCCGGCCTCTGACCTAGAGAGAAAATACCAGAAGTTAGCCTCAATTATTGTTGTCTTTACAACTTACACACTTCTGAAACATTTACACTTTATAAGCTTGGCACTTGTGAACCAAACATTGCTGGAAGAAGGAATTCTGAGGTCGGTACACCAGTGGCCACAAGATGGGGATGTTGCTCAGTGAGAGTGGAAAGCAGCCAGGCAACATTCCACAAAACAAGATCTCCAGGATTCTGAAACTGAGCTAGATGGAGCCTGTCTTGGGGAGGGTGGGTCGCTACAGATATTCCACTGTTCCGGGATTTTTGTGGGCACATGTGTATGGGAGGTACTGAGATGTCTTTACAGATGTCTTTGAGCCTCACTCCTTCCTTCTTCCTGCTTTCCCTTATCCTCCTCAGTTCCTCCCTGCTCTCACTCCTAACTAAAGCCAAGTATTCTCTATTGTTCCTAGTATTAAGTATCAAGGATATTTTTCTTTATGTATATGAATTTTGTTTTGCGTTTTCTCACGCATGCCTGAAAGAGAGAGAGATAGAGTGCCTGGCCCTGGGAGGCCAGAAGAGAATGTAGGAACTGGAATTATAGACAAATCCTCTGAACCACTGAGCCATCTCTCCACTTCAAGTATTAATTTTTTTATATTATAAAGAAATATTATAGTTTGTTTTCTTCCTTCCTCCTCTACTACTGAGCAGGAGAGTGTACACTCACACATGTGCACACACACACACACACATACACACACCACAGTAGACTTTTCTAGAAATAAATTGTCTCAATGAATTGCCTTTAAAATACTTCATATTTTTGAAGTTTCTAATAAGTTATCTCAACACTATTAACATACAAGTAAGGATTGGAGGTAAATTGTTATTCATTTATGTTATTGACAAATTAGATGAGGTTCTTTTTTTCTAAACTCATTCATTACTAAGTAGATGGTGCTTAGGCTTGGGAGTATGTAATAGTGAGGAGACACAGATGTCAGCAGGCAGTCAAACTGGAGTTTTGGGTTTTTTTTTTTCTTAATTGTGTTAGATTTATTTATTTTATTTTCTGTGTATTAATGTTTTGCCTGAGAGCATGTATGTGTAGCTCATGGGTGCCTGGTGCCTTCAGAAGTCAGAGAAGGATGTCAGATCCCTGACACTGGAGATATGGATGGTTTGAGCCATCATACTGAGTGCTAGGAATTGAACTCAGGCCCTTTGGAAAAACAAGTGCTCCCAACCCCTGAGCCAGCTGCAGCCTGGCTCATTGAAGCTTACTCGATACTGTGATAGAGTAATAGCTCACAAGTTGGGGTTATACATTCATTCAATTGTGTATGTGTATTTACATGTTATGTATATTTAGAATCAAAACAAATTGTGTAAATCTAAATGTAGAAGTAAGTATGTATTTGTATTTTCAGGTTCCGGAATCCAGTGTTTTGGGAAAAGTTGGACATGGTTATAAGTATGCCATAGGAAGTCTTAATGAAGGTAGAATAGGAATTGCTGCACAGGTAAGTCACATCTTAGCTCGTTCATGTTTTGAGCCAAATAAAATTAAAAAAAAAAAAAAAAGAATTGCAATAAGAGCAGTATCTGGAAGCTTATGACCACAAGGTGGCACCCTGCCCTTGAGTGAAGAAAAGGAATGGGTTCAGATTATTTCTCTTGAATTCCACTTTGGTCAATTATGTAAGTGTCCACAAGATCAAACAATGGATTAGTGACAGCTGTTTTCTGCTTTGAGAACATTACAATACTATCTATTACCAGTAACTTCCAAGTATATTACATATTAAATATGGCATTATTTTTCAGTTAACTTTTTAAAACCTGAAGTTCATTCTTTTAGAAATTTTTAAAATTAAGAACAACCATCCTGTTATATAAGGATACATATTCTATTATGTGAGGATCCATGTATATGTATGTATGTATGGCAACACCATAAGCCCTTCGTCTTACCAGATTCAGGGTTTGTGACTACTGGTTTTGTTCAGTGACCATTTCCAGGGCCATCTGTGTGAGCACTGGGTTGGGGCTGTGCATTGGAGCCTGGTGGAGTCACCGGTGGGGACACAACTGAAGACAATGACTTACCCCCACCCAAAATTGTCAGTAGCAGGTAGTTCTACAGTGAGAGTTGGGGCCCCCTAAGCCCTTCCTGGACTCATCAATAGTCAGATACGTATTTGTTTTTAATCACTCACTATAATTACTAACTTACAGCTTTTAGATTTTTGATAAAAATTACATCTGTTAGCTATTGAAATAGTTGAATGTTGAATTATTATTACTCCACATTTTTTTCTTTTTTTCTTTTTTTTTGTTTTTTCAAGACAGGCTTTCTCTGTGTAGTTTTGGTGCCCGCCCTGGATCTTACTCTGTAGACCAGGCTGGCCTCAAACTCACAGAGATCCACCTGGCTCTGCCTCCCGAGTGCTGGGATTAAAGGTGTGCTACCTGGCCAAAATATTTACTTATTTGCCTATTTTTTTTATGTATATGAGTGCTTTATTTTCATCCATACCAGAAAGGGAATCAGATCCCCTTACAGATGGTTGTGAGCCATCACGTGGTTGCTGGGAATTGAACCATCTCTCCAGCCCTTTTCTGCTGTTCATAACTTCATTAACAAACTGGGTTTTTTTTGGGTTGGGTTGCTGAGGATTGAATCCGGGAACCCAAATGTGCTAACCATCTGCTCTACCTCTGAGCAATACCCTCACCCTAACAAACTATTCTTAGACCAATATTCAACTTCGGTTTCTAACAAAGCTAGAAAGAGTACTGGCATACCTGTGCTTTTAAAGGTTTTCTTGTTATGTAACGCCATCAGAAGCAGCATTAAAGCTCCAGTATGAGACCTCATGGTTCCTAGACATATACATAATATAGATGTTCTGATCATGAAGTCCATGACATGGGCTTTATTCCAATTACTCTACAATATCTCATAACCCAGTGAAATGTTAAGAGCAGGTATCTAGTGTCTCAGTGTGTGCTTGTAGAGGAAAAGGTATATGTCACAGTGAACCAGAGTCACAGTTCCTCAAAATCTTGCAGTGGTAGAGAATTTATTTCTTTACTGTTTACAATGGAAACATTTTGCCAAGATAGAAATGCATATTTTCACTCACAGTTGATAATTTCAGTGGTATTGGCACATGCTTGTGATCTCAGTTCTCACAAGGCTTGACGCAGAAGGGTTGAGGGCTTGAGAATAGACATGGCAAGTTCAAGGGCAGCCTGGGTACATAGTAAACCTATCTAAAAAACAAAATCAGGGGCTAGAGGGATAACTCAGCAGTCAAGAACGCTGGCTGTTCTTCCGGAGAACCCAGGTTCAATTCCCAGCATGCGTGATGGCTCACAGCCAGCTGTAACTCCAGTCTCAGGGGTCCGGTGATCTCTTCTAGCATCTGAAGGTCCTGCATGCACATGTGGTGCAGACATACATGCAGGCAAAACACCCATACACATTTAAAAATGATGAAAAAAATATTTAAAGACCGAAATCAGTCTTCACATCAATAGAGACATGCTGGAAGATGATATCATCTCTAACCACAAAAACACTTGCTACGGCATTTTAATTTGGGAATTGTGGGGCATTGTCCCTTAGTTTTAGATATGATCTTCTCTTCTCCAGAGAATACTAAATAAAGGCTAAAAGAAAATGTGAATGAACACTAATGAAATATTGATGTTTGTGAGCAGTTCCCCCCAAAGCTTTAACTATTGATTTTTTTTTCTTTTTTAAAAACCTACATAGTTTGACATAATTAGATAGTGATTTACTAGCTACCTTATGTTGAAGTTTAGAAACCATTTTTAAGCTTGGATCGTTCAATAGATATGGAAATTGGTTAGCAATGAGACAGTTCAGCTAAAATTGTTACCCCATCCTGACTTGTTCCTCAAGCGTGTACATTAATGTTTTTGCAAGATTCCTTCCTCGGCTGTCTGAACCCCAGTTAAGTCACCCAAGGAGCTTTTGAAAATGCAGATGCTCTGGCCACACCCCCTCACCCCTCTCCACCCCCCTGACGGGGAGAGTGCTTGTCCACACCCTGGGTTTGCCCTCTCTGGACTTAAGAAAGCAAAACCAAACAAAGAGAAGTGGCTTCCCACACGTGGCTCTGAGGAGGACTGGAGGGACAGTCTGCGGTCTGGAGTCTTGGGTCAGCCTGGTCTAAGCTCCTAGGGCTCGCTTTAGGCCTGGAGAATCAGAGCTTAGTGGAGAGGACTTGGGAGCAGTTTCCCGGTTCTCTCTGCATAGCTCTGTGCTAGAATTAGATACACTCACTCCTCCGTACATGAAATCAGCCCACATTGTCTCCAGATGGTCAGATACTCCAGAGGGGTAAAGGTATGCAGTGAATACCCAACACACCCGACTCTTCAACTCTTCATTCCGCTTCTCCCTTCCCGAATGCTTCAGCCTCCCTTGAGAGGAATTGCAACTTGGGTAACTAAAGGCATAAACTTGTAACAAAATACATTTTAATCTTACGGTTTTTTTTTTTCCTCTCTCTCTCTCTCTTTAACAGATGCTAGGACTGGCCCAAGGATGTTTTGACTACACCATTCCATACATTAAAGAAAGGATACAGTTTGGCAAACGAGTATTTGATTTTCAGGTGTGTATAATGAAACTCTGTTGCCTTGGGCTTTCCCTCTTCCTGTGCTGAAAGCCATGGAGAGTCCTGCAAGGATGTTTAATGGGGGAGGATTAATGGGCATGCGGCCACCTTAATCTTTTCCGAGGGCAGAACCATAGTGCTTGAGGCAGCTGTTGTGTGTTGGGGATGCTGTGGTGAGCCCTAGAGAGCTGTCTCCTCACGACCTCAGAAGTCTGCCATCTCCTGAGTTCACATCCTGGCTCTGCCCGGTGCAGGTTCATATGACTTTGTCTGAAATGCCTGGCACTACAAATGTTTCAGATTTCAGATGTTTTCAGAGTTTGGGACATTTTTGTGGACATGGTAAGACATCCTGGAGATGTGAGATGAAACAAAATTCATTTATATTCCATATATGCCTCATATGTAGCTTTGAGGTAATTTCATACAATGCTTTTAATAATTTTATATATGAAACAAAAGAACCTGGGTTGAACTTTCTACTTGTGGCACCATCTTGATACTCAAAAAGTTTTAGATTTTGGAGCATTTTGGATTTCAGATTTTCAGATTAGGACTGCTTACCCTGTACTGGCCGCAGCTCCTACCATTAGCCCCATCCTACACAAGAGAAACTGGGACACACAGAAGATGGGTTCCCAAAATTGTGTAGCTGGTATGATGCTCTGTGGTGGCTTCTAGTCTAGTTTCCATTTCAGTATAGCAGCACACTGTCTCAGGATAGACACAGATGATGGATTCCCGATGGCAGCCAGAAAGACCATCAGTGAGACAGGTTAAAGGGGGCTTTGATTTTCCCTGCTAGCTAGGAATCAGTATATGTTTATGTATGTATGTATGTATGTATGTATGTATGTATGTATGTATGTGGGTCTGGTAAATATATATGGGTCTGGTAAACTACTGAGTATAACCATGGTAGCATTTTTAGAAACTATTGAGGTATATAAATTTTTTAAGGCAGAAATTTGATATTCAAAATTTGATTGCTGGGACAGTGGTGGCACACGCCTTTAATCCCAGCACTTGGGAGACAGAGGCAGGCAGATCTCTGTGAGTTTGAAGCTGGCCTGGTCTACATAGTGAGTTCCAGGACAGCCGGGACTATGTAGAAAGACCCTGCCTCAAAAGTGGGGAGAGGAATTTGATCATTAACTATGCGAAGCTTTAATGAGAGTCAGTCGGGTAATACCTGCCTATCCTCTCACCAAGGACTGGTTTTTCACCTGGGTGTGTCGCTGGCATCCTTGGATTCTCTAGGCTCCCGAGCTTTACGGGTAGGCCGGCCTATCACCTCATCCTTCTATCCTCACTTGATTATTCAGCATAGATTTGAGCATGTCTTCCATGCAATGCCTGTGTTTACAGTGCTCTCAGGGGACCCACATCTAGCTATCATGAGGAGTTTTTTGTGTGTAGGAGGGTGTTTTTTCAAGGCAGGAGGCATACCTTTGTTACTTTTCTGCCTCCCATGGTACCTCATGTGGTCATTGAATAAACAACACCTTGGTGACTAGTTTATTGACCCAAATGTATTTTGCAAAAATGATTATAATCTCTGAATTCCACATAAAAAGCCATCAAAAACCTATAGAACAGTGATATCCACATAAAACAGGAAAATTGACTAATAGGCAAAGACAAAAAGGCCAGCAACAGACATGCGTGTGTGCAGACTGATACATGGTAGAAGCAGCCTCGTAGGCCACAAAGTGAGACTACTCTCTCCATGTGGAAAAAAATGAAATTATCTTTGCTTCTTACAGCAAAGAGAATTCAGATACATCAAAGAAATCATGTAAAAAAAGCAAGTTTAAATTTTGAGAAAGAAGTAGGAGACTATGTTTATGACATTAAGATAAGAAGGGATTTTATAAGTGAGACATAAAAAAGACTAGTCGTAAATGAAAAGAATTAGTAAATTTTCCAAGCACAGTGGCACACGCTTGTAGTACTAGCATGGCATGACTAAGGCAGGAAGATTGCCATGAATTCAGGACCAGCCTTGGGTACACAGCAAGTCAGAAGCCAGCCAGCAGTCAGGATATATACCAAAACATTATCTCAAAAAAAGAAAGGAAGGAAGGAAGGAAAGCAGAGAATTTGATTACCAAATAAATTTTTCTCCCCCAAAAAAAAAGAAAAAGTCGTAGTGGTCTGACAGTGGCCTTGGGGTGTAGCTTGATGGTAGAGTGCCTGCCTAGCTTGTAGCAAAAGTCAATGCCCATAACACAGAAAGAGATGGCATAAGCGAAAAGACATGTCACAGCAGGGAGATACTCTTTGCATAGGTTTGCAGGTGTCCCATTTGTTGTGATACTTCATAACTTACATATCTATGATAGACTTTGTGCATATCAAAATATTGCAAATATCAAATGTCACAGAAAAGAATCTATTAGATATTTATAAGCCATCTCCCCCACCTCCCCAGTTTTCACTCCTTTCATTTAGGAAAGGCTTTTCATTAATGGGAATATTAAGAAATTGCTTTAATTGAGAATGTCTTAATCTTCATCACATTTTACTGAAGTTATTTATTTGACTATTCTTGTTAGACTCAAACAATGAGTACAAGGAATTCTGGCTATGGTGTTCAATGTTGTGCCTCCCGTTGCTCAACACAGAACCAGCATACAGTAAATGCTTGAACAGCTAGATAGGTTGGGTATGAAAATCATTCCAGTCTGTCATAAACAATGAAGCTATATTTCTAGAAAATCAGGTCTTTGGGGTTTGTTTCTGGTTTTTGTTTTGTTTTAAGACAGTGTCTCCGTGTATAGCCCAGGCTGAATGTGATCTTGCAGCAACCTCTCTTGTTTCTCATTCCCGAGTACTGGGGTTACAAGTATGTCCCTCCATGGCCCAACAAAGCTTAGTGGACTGTTGATCACTACCACAGTTGACGTTCATTTTCTCACTAAGTCATTCTGGTCATTGCCAGGCGCTTAGTGGCACCTCGTCGACGAATAAAATTTCAGGGTGATAGTAATTTTTAAATAATACTTTTAAAAGTTATTCTTTAAAAATAGAATATATGGGAGCTGGGGACATGGCTTAATTGGTAAAAGACTTGAGGGGCAAGCTTGGAAATCTGAGCTCAGATAAAAGCCGAGTGAGGCTAACATGGAAGTACTGGGGTAGGGCGTCACATCCCAGAGGCTCACTAGCCAGCAGCCGGAAGGATGCACACCAGGTTCAGTGAGATCCTTGTCTCAAAAAATAGTAAAGAGCATTAGAGGAAGACAATAGCATTCTCTGCCTCCACACAAGCACACATGGGCAAATGCACACTACACGCGTACGCACTGAAGTTAAAGGTTTTTAAAGTAGAGCAACTGCTATTCTTATTTATTTATTTGTTTGTTTGTTTGTTTGTTTATGAGACAGGGTTTCCCTGTAGTCCTGGCTGTCCTAGAACTCTAGACCAAGCTGGCCTTGAACTCACAGAGATCCACCTGTCTCTGCCTCCTGAGAGCTGGGATTAAAGGTGTGTGCCACTACCACTGGGCACAACTTGAACTTCTTGAACATGGGGATAGACTCACATCAATAAAATTTAGTTGAAGGAAGAAAATTTGTGCTTCCAATATTCTTTCACTACTTTACAGCTAACAACTTGATGTGTTGAGACCATGTTCAAAAATCAAAATTTTCTTAATTCAATCAGGCAAAGAGTATTTAAGAATTTTGTTCTATTGGGACTTAGTGTAAGCTCAATTTTCATCATAGACAGTTAAAAGTAATTATTAAATATGGGAGTCAAGGTTTTAAAACCTAACTTTATGATGACATTATTTAAAATCATAGCAAACCGTGAAGGATTACATGAGTTTTGAAATTTTCCCAAAAAAGATTCAATAATACCTGCAGTGTATTATTTAACTTTAGATGGCAGATTTAGGGTATTTGAAAGGAATGGGTTTGGATTTCTTTGGGGTGTATTTTGAGTCCGTGGGCATTGTGTATCTTCCTTGCAGTTAGAGGTAAGCCGCGTTTTGCGAACTGTCATTTTCTAACATGGTCTGAATGTTACAGGGGCTCCAACACCAAGTGGCCCAGGTGGCCACCCAGCTGGAAGCCGCGCGGTTACTAACGTACAACGCTGCTAGGCTCCTAGAAGCCGGAAAGCCATTTATTAAAGAAGCATCTATGGCCAAGTATTATACATCAGAGGTAAACAGAAGGAGTTATTCAGTCTCCTTTAAAAAAAAATACATGAGGTTATTAGTCTTTCACTTGGGAATATTGATTGAGCTTAGGTTATCCTCCAAGGAAGAAAACGTTCTCTTTCCACTTCCTGCAGTAGAAATGGGAAATGGTGAAGCTGCTATGGAAAGATGTATTACTTCTGTGGTGTCTCAGTGTTTTCATGAATGGCCAGTTCAGGTTGAAACACACCACCCCAAGTACATAGAGGCCGCCTCTGAGTGATGGCCTTAGGTCCATGGTTTCAGTTGGGATAAAGTGGATGCCATGGAAGATGTGTTCTTGACAGGATCATACGAGATTTAAAGCACCAACAAAAGATGATCTACATTTGTAATACCTTCTACTCAGACATACCCATTCTCTGTGTACACATGGAACTATGGCAAGAGAGTTGACCTACATCATGGGGCAGGTCTCTCCCAGTCTAGACACCGAGTCAAGATTTAGGATATCCAACCTTTGGACATTCTCATCTCTAGATGTATTGGACTGCCTTCATAGCTTTCCTGCAGTACATACAGTCCATGGGCTCCAGGTTGGATATGCTGACAAATGCTCATTTAACCCTTACAGCTCCTAAAATGAGAGACTGCCATGAACTGGGGTCAGGGTGAGAGAGGAAAAGAAATTGGAAAGGCAAGCTGGCCTTGGAGGGGGATGAACAGTTTGACTGTTTTAATGGTGTCTCAAGGATGTCCAGAGAGAGTCTAACCCCCAGAGCCTAACCCCCAGACTCTCTCTCTCTCTCTTTCCCTCTCTCTCTCTAAATCTCTCTCTCCCCATTCCTTTCTCCCTCCCTCCTTCCATCCCTCTCTCCCTTTCTCCCTTGTCCCCTTCCTTCCCTCCCCCAACCCTCTTTCTGTATTTCTCTCTCTCTCTTTCTCTGTCACCTATCTGTCCAGGATGCATCATTCCTTAACCTAACTCCTGGGTCACCCAGCTGATCTCGTGGTCCCTATTGCTGTCCCTAGCCCAATCTTGCTGTTGTTTTGATGTCCATTGGAACTTTATAGTGACTTCTCACAGTAAACAGAACAATATTCATATTAATTTCTCACAATGCTATAGCAAGCAAATTCCCCAAAATTAAGTGTCCCGAAATGGGCAATTTCATCAGCTGCCATTTTGGGAAGTCGGAAATGTAAGATGGACCTTACAGCTATCAAATGAACCTGTTAGCAGAAAGGCTTTCTGGCGGCTCCAGGGGAAAATGTTCCAGCTCCCAAGGGCTGCTTGCATCCCTGAGTCACAGCCCTTTTGTCTCTCTTCATGGCCAGTAATGTGGCACATTCAGAGCTCTTTCTTTCTCTCTCGGACTCCCTCTTGTTGCTGTGGTCAGATTGCCTTCAGTGACTAGCTCTCCAGCATCCTTCCTTCTTTAGAAGCACTGTTGGGATCACATGCTCCATCTCAATAATCGAGGTTAATTTTCTGATCTCCAGACCTTAACTTAGTCCCAGCTGTAAAGCCCCTCTGTTATCACGTAAGATAGCACATTTGGTTTCTAGGGGTTAGACTCTCTCTGGACATCCTTGAGGAGTCATTGCGGAAGCCAAGCTGCTTGACCTCCTCCAAGTCTCTCCTCCCCTCTCACCCTGACCCCAGTCTCTCTGGTCCTTGAGACCAATGGGCCCCTGCTCTCCCTGGAGCCCTGTACATGTGGCTCCTCAACTTGTAATACCCCTAATTGGTGTTGTGGGGCCTAGCCACACTCTTTCCTCAGCTCACCATCTAAATCACAACAGTTTTTCTGACAAGCTCTTCTGCCCTCTGCAGCTTATACATTTCTATGCCAGTTGGTTTAATGGCTGTCTCTAAATGAACACAAGGACCGAAGGGGCAGTGTCTGTCTTCTCCCACCCTCAATAAACATTGCTAATAAATGATGCCCTGTTGGCAAGCATGTGCATATTAACAAGTCTGATTTCTTTTAAAAAAAAATTTCTGTGAATTAATAGGGTATTTTAGAAAAGTGGTGTGGAGACTTAAAAATAACTGGAGCCCTTCCACTTGCTCACAGTCAATCCGTGCTCCTGAAACTGTCCCTCACAGGCTCATCGTGCACACGTTTGCGGACTTCTACTCTCTAATTTACTACTTGCCTCTGGTAGGTGGCCGGAATAACAACCAGTAAGTGCATTGAGTGGATGGGAGGAGTCGGCTACACCAAAGATTACCCTGTGGAGAAATTCTTCCGAGACGCCAAGATCGGTCAGTAGACTTTTGATGGTTTGGTTTGGTTTGGTTTGTTTGCCACTGCGGGTGTTTGGGCTAGAGTATTTGTCGATTTTGTATTACTAGTACTTAGGTAAAAGCAGTTTTAATCTCCGCAGTGTGTTTATTGACTTTCTTCATAGCTAGATTTCTTCCTTCTTCGTCCTATCAGAAAAATGAATTTATATTTCTAAAAACATCAAATTGACTCTTAAAATGCCCCAGTAGACCTTCTAAGAAATCTGCAACAAAGTCCACTGTCTTCATTTTTCTGTTACTAAAATTGTTAGTATTTGCCGTTCCCGTAGTCTAATACTGTTCTTTGAAGTATGGTTCTAATTTCAGAAGGCAGCTGCCTCATCATGCCTCAGTGCTCCAGTGCTCCACCAGCAGTGAGGAGAGTAAATAGCAGCTCTGAAAGCTGCAAGGTCCTTAGAAGTGGCTGGGTTTATACACTGGTGCTCTGAGAGCTAAATCCTTAACTGTTCAAAGCTGATTCTAGTCCTCTACAGATCAAATGGAAAAGTGTTACCTTAGTCAGAATTACTGTGGACACTGAATCCTGGTACTTAGTGCAAATGCGGGCTAATGTCTTTAGCACTCATGTCTTACATGGCTGTGGGTGAACTCCTAATTGCCCTTTTCTCTCTCTTTTGTTTAAGGTACAATATACGAAGGAACATCCAACATCCAGCTGAACACCATTGCAAAGCACATTGATGCAGAATACTGATGCCTGTGGGATCAGGGCCCTCTCTGGTGTCACTGGCGTACCATTTCCAACTGTTGTGCCTTATTACGTGGAGCCTATAGAGCATTGCAGGGTTCTATTGGAAGGCCCTTGTCCTGTTCTCAGACCTGGCTTTTGTTCCTCTTTCTTTCCAGTTTACTCTAAAACGAGTTTTAAGCTTCTGTACACATTTATATTTCTCATCCTAGTTTTTGAGTATACCCAAGTTTCACTGTACCAACATCTGGGAAGGTGAAAATTTTTGAAGTATTGGTATTGCTGACAGAAATAGTCACTTTATATTCCTACTAAATCTTTGTACTGTGGTATGAGCCAGAGGAACATTTGTTACAGTAGGCAATTTTTATTCAATACTTTATAAATTCAGTGGTAAGTTGCTAAACAGGGTAGAAACCGATAAAATTTATTTGGAAAATCGAGAACTCCTAGTTCTAATATCAAAGAAATAGTAGAAAATAAAGATGTAACTTGTAGGTCATATAACTGACAACAACAAAAGCCCAAAATATTATTTTAACCAACAAATGCAGCATGTTTGGCTGCTGTAATTGACCTGTATGAAAGCTGTGTTACATGATGGCTTCAGCAGGACATTTAAAAACATGGCCCTGTGTTAGTTTTCAACTATAAAGTTTAAATAAAGCCAGGCGGTAGTGGTGCATGCCTTTAATCCCAGCACTCAGGAGGCAGATCCTGTCAGATCTCTGTGAGTTCGAGGCCAGACTGGTCTGCAGAGAGAGATCCAGAACAGGCACCAAAACTACACAGAGAAACCCTGTCTCAAAAAACAAACAAACAAACAAAAAGTTTAAATAATTTGGCTTAATCGTCTGAAAACATTCAGGTATAATATTCATTAGATCATGCACTATTTTTCAGTAGTATGATTTATTTCTGTGTCTTAATTATTTTTCCCCTCAAACTTGGTTATTGGACTTTATCCTAAATAGTAATTAATTGAGAAATTCAATTTTGGTTTTAGTGATTCTCAAGAGAAATATTTTACCCCCATAAGGAAATAATATCACAATCTCATAAGGAATGGAGAGCAGGAGGAGACTAGATAGTCTGAAAAGACACATTCAGTATAAGTATATGTAGTCATTTATATAGTATATTAAGTAATTTTATATTTATGAAGACAAAGGTCTTTATTTTACAATGCAAATGACAACCAGGCAAAGCCTAATCAGATATCCAGCTGGTGAAGCCATTGATCAGTGTTAGGAACTTTTAGTCCCGAGACCCTCTAGCTGTAGATCCTCAGTCTTTGGAGAGAGAAGCAGACACTAGACAAGTGAGTTTCACATTTCCTGAGGAATCACAAGTTAGATGTGGAAAATGCTCCAAGGCTCATGCAGTTGCTAAAAATAACCATTACTGCTAAACAGAAAGTATTTTAGTGCTTTTGCAGAAGGATAATGTTTATTAAGAAAATGACATTTTCTAAGTAATTTTGCTTTGCACAGTCATGTTTATTGAGCTAAATTAATTTCCACAATGCAAATCATAGTTAAATATGCAAGGTTGTGTAAATACAGTTGAGATAGGAATTCCATTAAAACAGTAAGAAGAAACAGGACAAATTTAGACCTTGAATCCAAAGAGATAAAGTCTACTTGACTTTCAAATGGGAAAAGATGAAAGCCCCTTATCCAGTCTTTCCGAACAGAAAGATGGATAGGTCTGATAAGAAAAGCAAGGGATGGATACAGTGCCCTAATGGGGCTCACACCTCTTTAATTTCTGTGCTTGTGTGAAAGAGGTAGACTTGCAGATAATACAGTAGGAGTCAATATGAGCAAACAGAGTTCTACCTTCTCCAGAATGAGAAACACATGGAAGTGTGATAAATACCATGTTCTAACTCACAGCACCAGAAACACTCAATTACATATCTGGACTTTAAATGTGTTCAAAGAGAACTAATTTTGTATATATATTTTGTGCATGTTCACAAAGAAGAGTTAATATGCATTAGTAATTAGCATAATTAATATACAAACTTGCCTTCTTCTGTTAGTGAGTTCTTGTATTGTTTCACCGGAGAGGATGTTTGGGGTCTACTCATATTTCTTCCGTTCTGGTTTTTCTTCTGATTTCTGTGACTTTGTAACCTGTCATGAAACTATGTACTTTGAGTTTGTATCTTGTAGGGAACCTAAAGCTGTTTGTGAATTTGAGGACTGAGATGACATGGAGCACAGGCGATAAAGAACTGACCTGGGCTTTACAGGTGGAACTGGTTGCCGAGTTTGCCTTGTTAGAGGTTTCACTTTATCACATGAGACTCAGCTAAGGGATCAGTGCCAAGAACTTGATGATTGTGGAAGTTTAAGCCTAGAAAGACTCTAGACAACCATAAAGTTAGCTCTGTCAATTTAGAAGCGAAGAACTCTTAATCAAGGTTGCTTTCTCAGATAATCCATCCACGGACAAAGACAAGAATTCAGATAGACTGACTCAAATTTAGTGTTCTTCCCATTACCAAACACAGTCATTGCTCAACAGATCTTGGATTTTGTCCTTGTTTTATTTTGTTGTTGATTTATTTCAAGTTTAACTGATAAAGAATGAACATGTCAGTAGTGTTGTGATTGATCAGTCACTTGCCAAAGGCTCTCTTGATCTGTAGCAATGATGTCCGATCTGAAGATGGCTGTGTGAAATCCTTTGGCATCACTGTTATACTGGCTTTTAAAGAAATACCCTGCAAAGTATTTGTGCTGACCTGTCATAAAGTAAAAGTTCCATTTTAACAGTATGTATCAGATTATGCTCATTGTTACAGAATCTGTGTTCTATGGAGAATGAAAAGATAAAGCACTAAATTAACTGAAGAATCTCACTGCTAGAATAAAGTACAGTTGTCACACATACACATGAAGAATGAATGTAGTCTTCCCGAAAGGCAGACATAATGCCTCTGTCCACCATGCCAGTAGCTCTCTTCTCAGGTAAGCCAGTTTTGTTTGTTTTCAGAGAAGAGGTCTTGTAATATAGACCAAGTTTAAATTCATGGTGCTAAAAAAATTTTCCCCCAGAGGACTTTTTTTTTTTTTCATGGTAACTCTCCAGTAGAAAGGCCACTGCTTTTGAGCACATCCTCCCAACCCAGATATTGTCCAGCGGATGTGTATGCCTGTGTGTTAAAGAAGGACTTTTCTAAATTTATATTACTGCACTTTTTACTCAGGGATCCACCACAGTACAGAACCATAGGAGATTTCAGCTTGTGTGTTCCTTATCCCTACATCAGTTTCTAAATCTAGACGTTGGTAAAATTTTTTCACTCAGAAATGTGTTTTTGTGGTTGCTACATCGAAGGTATGGTTTCTGAGCTACCATTACAAAGATAAATTGTCCCTTATTTAAACGTGTGCCCATCTCAGTGCCCCTTTTCTGTTTTCATTAATGTATATTCACAAAAAACATTGAGCAGAAAAGTGCCATTTTTAGTCCTATGAAGGGGAAGTGCTTCGAAAGGATAGCAAGCACTTACCACCTTTACTGCATCCCAGCTGTCATTCTACAGCCAAGAGACAGGGTCACTCTGTGTAGCCCTGACTGTCCTGGAACTCACTATGTAGACCAGGCTGGCCTCGAGAACTCAGAGATTCTGCCTGCCTCTGTCTCCCGGGTGTTGGGATTAACGGTGTGCATCACCATGCCCAGCTCCATCCTACGGTCTTGACACCTGCTAACAGCAATCCCTGAGGTGGCTACTCTTGTATCTTATACTGATAAGGAGACTGTAGCACAGAGAGTTTAAATAGGGTGTGCATTGGTTCATGACCGAGGCAGGATTTGGGGGGAACCTGGCTGCTGAAGGCTCTCCTACTCTCATTCCTTGGAGTCATCTTCAGAGGCTTCCCAATCAAATGCCACTACTAATTGGTCCTTTCTTACCTAATCATTCTTTGGAGAAGAGGCTCACATCTTTTCCAACTGAGAACAAAGCCTGCAAAGTTAGGTAAGCACGTGGGGTTGGGAATGTGGGTTTGGGGCGTGTGGCTGGGCAGAAGCACCTGCTTAGCATATATGAGACATGGGTTTGAGCTCCAGTAAAGGTGTAGGTAAACAGGACGACAGGAGTTCCAGGCCAGCCTGGTCTGCAGAGTGAGTTCCAGGACAGCCAGAGCTACACTGAGAAACACTGTCTTGGGAAAAATAAAAGAGGTGTTCAGATGAGGAGGCCAGACAGATGGGTTAGCAGTTAAGAGCATTTATTGCTCTTTCAGAGGATCCAGGTTTGGTTCCCAAACCCTGTGTCAACTCACAGTCATTTGTAACACGAACTCCAGGGATGCAGTACCCTCACATGCACCTTCTACAGGCATCAGACACTTACATATCCACAAGCAAAACTCACACACATAATAATAAATATTTTAACGATATTCAAATGAAGTCAAAGAAAAATTTAAATCCTAGCTATGTGAAGCTAGAAATACCTAAAACAAGAAAAGAAAGTTGGACTATATGGAAAAAGACTGCAAATGCTATAAAAATAAAAATAAAAATAACTTAGTATCTAACAAAATTGAATTCAAGACAAAGCTAATTTTAAAAAGTATCTCATAAAAAGGAAGAATTTGTCAAGAAGATCCAACAGCCATGGACTTCATTACCCCTAAAAACATAACTGGGAACTATGCAGAGCAAAACAGATAGAAATAAATGAGAATAATCCACAAAGCTGCAATCATGGGCATGTCTTAGAAATCAACAGGTCAAAGCTGGGAGCTGGGGTGCAGCTATGTAATACCAGCACTAGAAAGGCTGAAGCAGGAGGATTGCCATGAGTCTGAGGCCAGCCAAAGCTACATACAAGAGCAAAGGGAAGGGACAGAGGAAAGAAAATCCCCCAGAAGTCTCTAGCCCAAGACCCCAGGTGCCTGGTTTCAACTGAGTGAGTGAGATGTGACTTGGGCCCAATCCAGTGCACCTCCTGTTCACATTGCCTGTTTCATCACAGCCTGTAAGTTAATAGGTTTCTGTGTTATAAGTGGATATTAAGATGCATGACATATCCACAAATAAAAATGGGTTTCTGTTTTAAACAGTATGTAAATATATACAATATCCAACATTGTATATCCTCTTGCTATAAAGCCTAAAATATTCACGTTTTGGCCCTTTAGAGGAAAGTTGTCCAGCTCTTTTACTGAATGACTACCTCTAATGGATTTCTCTGAAGCAGTTAGTCAGTCAGACTGTCTGGGTAGAATACCAAAACAAAAAAACCCTCCCCTTGGAGGCTGGGCTGTATTCACTCTTGGTTTTATTTGTAATCCTACTGGCTCCTGCCTCTAATCTACAAATACGTTCTTATCTTCCCATCCTTAAAAGCTGAATTTCCCAGCTTGGTGTGGTGGCACATGACCATAATCCTAGCACTCGGGAGTCTGAGACAGGAGTATTGTGAATTTGAATCCAATCTTTTCTCAACCCTGTTTCACAAAGCTAACTCACTACATTTCTGGAAGCCACTGCTTTGCAGGCCTGGATGTGGACCAGGGTTACCTTATCCCCAGTAGCTCCTCATCCTTATAGCTTGTTCCTTTGTTCCTTAATCCTTGTCTGCTTTCGCTTTTATCGGTGGATTTAAACTCCAAGTCCTCCTTTTACCCTTGATTGGTGGTCTGTTCTATCTATCCCAACTACTGTGGTTTCAGGCAGCTTTCCCTGGAGCCTCGCTCGGTGCCTGAGACCTCCTCCTCTTGACTGGCTTCTCCTCCCTTAAACGACCACTTTTTTCCTGATGCTGTCCTTGTGCCGAATTTTTCTCTATAACAGCCTGCACTGTGCTTTAGAGCAATGACAAGTGTCTTAGAAGCGCAGGCTGTGGAATGGCACTCCTAGTCTCTCCTAATTACCCTGCAGGAGGCCCTCCAGGAGGAAATTTGAGTTCAAGTGCAGAAGGAAGGATTGCGGTGGGAGACCTGCTAGTCTATCAGTATTACAGTGTAGAGTCATGTGAAGCCTTTTGTAAGAGTGGATGGACCAAAAATGATTCTTTTAAAAGGCTCATCTCTAGAGCCTTAAGTTCTCTGGTTGGGCCTAGAGCCTGGGAATCTGTCTGTTTAGAAGCCTCCCTGGGAACTTTACCACACTCAAACTTGAGAAGACTTCTCAAAACAACTCTCATCCCAAAGACCCGTTTTCAGTTTCTCTCCTCGTGCCATCCAGCTAGACTCGCTCAGTAAACCCAGCAGGGATCCCTGAAACACTGCCTGCCTAAGGAAGAGAAAGGGAATAGGCAGTACCTTCTCTACTTCTCAGAGATGCCCCGTTTCTGCCCCCAAGGGCCTCCTGGGAAGCCATATACCTACTGCAACCAGTCAGGGGTCATCCACTCCCATACTCCCACCCCCAAATGGGAGGCTCCGTGGGGATTGCTTCACCAGGCATTCCCCTTAATCAGGAGAGCCTATGAGGGAGCTGCTGCTAAGATGTGTCACTGAAGCTTCAGGTTTTAAAATCCAGCCATTTCCTTTAGAGACCTTTTCCCCTTTGGAGATGCAAACTAACAACAAAGTGACAGCAGATGGTAAGGTTTTGCACTCTTGGAGGGCTAGGAGTCAGACGGTCCATCCAGCCTAGTGGTCAGCCTTAGTGCAATATATATATATATATATATATATATCCTTTACAGAGCGGTACTCCATCTTTCCCAGCCAGTGGCTTTCCCTAAGTGCACAAAAGCTAAAAATACGCTTATTGATGGATAATGCTCATTTTCAAATGTGTTTTATAATACCTTCACTTGCCCAGTGGGCAGGAAGTCCTGGGAATTGCTCAGGTTGAAATGTATTAATATGAAAGGTTGCCAGATATGGCCAGATGTATTGGTGCATGCCTGAAATCTTGCTGGGAAAGCAGAGGTGGGAGGATTATAGGTTTCGGACCAGCCTGGACTACAAAGCAAGTTCCAAGGCAGTCAAGTTCATATGGACAACCTGGAGAAAAAGAAGAAAGTGGGGGGGGCGGGTAAAAAAAACAAACATGGGCTTTATGTTTTGAACATTGTGTTAAAAGGACTTAGCTTCTTAGCATCTGTGTTCTTCTCAGAAGTCACTTTAGTGTGGGCACAGTGCCATCTGGGCCAGCTCTCTTCCTAACTCAGTTGATCCTGAGTTAACGATGTCTCCCTTGTTCTAGCTGATCTTTCTTCTCCTTTCTTTTCTTTTTAGTATGAAACGTCTACTGGGCATCAGCAGTCAGGACAATCTCCAGAAGAACAAATATTTCTGAACAAGCTGGCCCCAGCATCTCTGGCTAGTAGTGTAGGGAATGAAGAAGTGTGAAGGAAACCCTGCATCCTGCTGCTCCCTTCCAGGAAAGTGTTGCATGTTCTAGGCAAAGGGCAGAACATCCTGCTGGCACTCCGAATAGCTCTTGAAAGGCAGCCCTCACGCTTCCTTGTTCATGTCCAGCGGGGTTCAGCGGGAGCAGGCAGTGCACTTGTGTTGGGGTTAATTGGTTCCTTGGTTTGAGGCTTTTACGTAATTTCTCTTGAGATCCACCTCTTACTCCTTAGCCATTGTCCTATTCACTTGACTTCTAAAAAATGTTGGTGTCCAGTTCCTGTACCATCTTAGGAACTCAGTTAGGGTCTCCTGGTCATTTCAGCAGAGGACACCAGAGGCCTCCACTCTCTCTGCACTTATTCTCTGAGGGTTTGCACTCTGGCCTAGAGCTAGCAAATGTCTGTAAGTCCCATCGGTGGGCTTATTCTTTCTAGCTTTTATATTCAGAGTT